TAACCACCCTCGTGTCGCCACATCACCATCAGACACTACTATTCGTGTAGTTGTTGCTATTGTTTGTCTTTGTCTGTGTCCTTCTGTCTTTACCTCTCTCTCTCAAAGGATGTTAAAGGTCCAATGTGTAACATTGAGGAGGATCTATTGGCAGAAATGGAATATGATCATGTTTTTTGCATGTTTTGAGGCCACAGTACTTTTTCCACACTTGATGCTAGATGCCACTAAATCCTACACACTGGACCTTTAACAACAGTTAATACAGTCATATGCATGAACTGATAGTTATTAATACAATAAGCATTAAGGAACTGTTAACTAATGTGTCTTGTAATGTATTCAGGGTTAGGAGGTTAGGAGGTTACTTGTTAACCCTGAGTATAATGGCATGATTTCCCACAGGGTTCTGCGTAACTACTCGGGTATATTTCGTGTTGATCTGCAGCAGCAGGGAGGTAATCCAGAGGCTACAGTACAGACAGTGCAGTGCAGTGCAGTGCAGACAATATGCATCAAAGCAACACACAAACAGGACACATAACAACCCACTAAGCAGACTGTATCATCACTGTGAATTATGTAAGATCTGCTGGGATGGCCTGTGAAATAAGGTTTTCTGATAGGAGGCAAAAAAAGGTGGAGATAGATATTGAAGGTTCTGTAGAGTATTAACTCTTTAATCAATTTACGTTCTGCTTGCCTTAAACTGATAATGACATGTCACGCTGGATGGGGATTCATAAACATTCAGAGGTAGAGTTTTTAAAGTGAAAACAGCTCAGAAAAGAAAATAATTAGGGCCCGAGCACTGACCGTGTGAAGGCCCTATTGTATCTGTAAAGGCTATTCTTATTATTAGGGACCGAGCCAGCGACCGCTGGAGGTCATTAAGGATTATTATTATACTTTAATGAACACAGGTTCAATAACTGACATGGTGACTGGTGAATAAGAAACAGGTGAGCAGGTGGACATGGTCATTTGACTGGGACAGTTGGGAAAGTCTGAGGGCACCTGGTGGATGAAAGGAGAATGGCAATGACTGCAAAGCTTCATAGAAATGCAAGGGACTGGGGAAGTGGGAATGTGGCTGAAGGGATGGACAGAGTGGCATAATGGACAAAACTGGACTGTGTCAGTCAATGTGATAGTATAGTTTAATTCAGAGGATTTGAGTTATTAATTGCTCTTAATTTGCTTTTGAAATATAGAATTGTTCAGATACTCCAGAATCAGAAATCTAGCGGATACTGCCTAAAATGCGCTATTGGATTACAGCAAGTATGCATGTGTGCACTAATCCAATACTGTGTAATTTAGCCCCAAAACCTGTTTTCCCAGGATAACTAAGTCATTTTCTCACTCTGACAAGGGGTTTAACCTGACAAGACCATACAATAATGATAGCAATCATACAGGCTTAGTAGTATAAGAAATAAATATAAGAAAATAATATCTATATCATTTTTTTATCCCACATCAATACTTGGTATCGGCTGATAAGTTCAGGTATCATAATTAATATTGGAAAGAAAAAAATAGTATTGGAACATCTCTACTGAAAATCATACACAGCTTTAATGCACAATTAAGGTATAAATGCATGCAGAACACGTTGGGATCGGAATGCAATTGGATCAGCCAGACCACATTTAAAGGTGTGATCAAATCTCAAGTGATAAGAAAGAGTCATAAGAAAGAAAATGGTGTGAATGGGGCCCTTATGTCAACTGGATCACTGAGTTGTCTGAGAGTAATCATGACTACCAATTAATTCATTCACCAGAATTGATGCAAACTGCACAGGGGGCAATGTTCCCAGTGACTGCTTAAACAGTTTGGACAGGTTAGGGGCCAATTTCGGGGGTGTATTTTAAAACGATGTTTAAAAATAACTGGCTGTCTGAAAGCTGTCTGAACCCACGCATAATTTATTCCGAAAGGCCTTCAGTGTCTCAAGGACTTCATTCTAGTGAGGGCAGTTTCTAATTTGTCTTTATGAGAGGACCGGACAAATATGTCGGTCCTCCAATCGGAAGGTTGGTGGTTCGATCCGGCTCCTCCTGGCATGTGTCGAGTATCCTTGAGCAAGTACTGAAACCCCAAATTGCTCCTGATGCATAGCATCAGTGGTGTGAAATGTGTATGATGCGTTAGTTTCTTTTCGAGTGGACTTTTGCATCGCTGTGTGGATATGTGTGTGAAAGGGTGATGTGGCACGTAGTGTAAAGCGCTTTGAGTGGTCGGGAAGCTAGAAAGGCCTATACAGAGTACAGGTCCATTTACCATTTACCATATGTGTAGGAGTAATTGGAGGAATTGGAGAAGGTGCCCACAACGTCATCCTAAAAAAATGAAAATAAAATTGGAAAGAACTCAAAGTTTGTGGTTCCCTTGGACTGCTGACAATCTTATAAAACATAGAAGTAAACAGTAGGTGTGACAAAATACATAAAAATATAAATTAAATTTTTGTTTGTTTCAGTTGCCTGGTATGGTTCTTTGGGGGTTTAATACATTTATAGCATAATTATTCTCTTAGGGATGTCTCTATTAATCTCAGCTACGTTACTCAAACTAAGGTCTGCATAGATTATTGGCTAAATGACTGTTATTTATTCCTTACAAAAAAAATCGCTCTGCTGGCATCTCTACTGGCACTTTCACGTAGCTCATGGAAGGGAGGTTGCCTGGTATGGTTCTTTGGGGGTCTCTGCTGCCGCTCTCCTTGTCTTAAACTTTTCCATGTATGCACATGGAAGGGCAGGGAGGTGTGCTCTCCCTGCCTTAAGGTTTTCCACGTAGGCACAAATGTAATATTCTGCTTTGGAATAAAAGTTATTTTGACAAAAGTGGTCCTGACTGAACCATGGTAATGGGATATTCCATTCCATAGCCCTATTAACCCTGTAAGACCCAAATACAGAAAAACCTTTAAAAAAAACTTATTTTACCTTTCAGATGTTGTAGAAGGCCTTTGATGCAGAAATTAAAGAGTTTTTAAATGTTTATGTACGTTTTTAGAGAAATGTTGTAATATTGCAACAATGGGCTTAGTTGGGAGCAGAATTTCTGTATTTGTACTCATGTTGTCTGAACAACAATTCAGAACAACTAAGGGTTCATTTGCAGGGTTGATTGCTTACTTAGCCCCATAAAGGTATATAACAATAATAATCACACATTAGTCATATTTTTATGAAGTCATTTATTAAGAAAAACTATTAAACAGGATAAAACTCTAGCTT